ACGTTTTTTTATGTGTGTTACCTTATAACTTTTTTCTGGGTGAAACTATTTCAATGATTCTTTTTTATTTGTAAGTCGGTGCTTCACATGCGGTCTCATACAAATTTAATCAAGGTCTGACCAATAGTTTTTGAGTTATTCTTAATAATTTATATTGAAGTGGGTCGTACAAAATTATTAATTTTTAATTATACTATAGAAAAAATCTTTATAACCCTTTTCTCTGAGGCTTATTTGGTATTGGTGACTGAGCTCCATTTTTTCATTTAGCACAAATGTAGTTATCATCTTAACCGAGGCCTTGGCCTACTTAAAGGTACAGGTCATATTTGTTTCCCCTAAAATTGTTCTGATTTTATAATACGGTTTGATTCAAAAAAAAATTGACAAACTTTCCACAGTTACCGTTATTTGGTAAGGTAGTTTACAAACCAGTTATGAAATTACCTACCATCCCACTGCCTGTAATAGTCTAACACAGACTGTGTTAGATTATTATAACACAGTCTTCTAATCACTGAAAACGGTTTTGTAACTCAAGATGAAAGTTTTCAGGACTTTGGATTATAGCACGAGGGGGACGGAGCGTTGACTTCATTAGATGTGACGTCTCCAACTTAATGTTTAGGTTCAGTATGCCTCTAACCATTCAGTGATCGCTGCCAGTTTTCACCCTTGCGATCACTGAGACATCACTGAACAGTTGGCGTCTAGTCATCAGTCTCATTTTTTGTCGAACCATCGAGGCTTGACCAGATCTACTTCCTGTAGGATCGCTTCTGGAAGAAAGAGTTCATCATATCATTATCATATCTTCATGGAGAAAGAGGGGCTCTTGTCTTTCTACATGAAGTCAGCCAGCTGCTGTCCACATGGGTTTCATTGCCCTATTCCAAATTTCCCTACCTTCAGCTCACCGTTCTCTTGTGCCTATTTTTGCGTTGAAGTCTCCCATTAACACCGTATACTGGGTTTTGGATGAATGCATGTCTTTAAAGATATCCTCATATATTTCCTCCACCTCCTTATCGGGATGTGCCGAGGTAGGTGCGTAAATGTCTATGACCTTTAACGAATAAAGTTTAGTGAATCTGAGTATAAGGTACGCAACCCTCGTCGACCCACAATCTTTACAGCTTTGTTAATGAGAGACTTGTGGACGATAAATTTGATACCTTCTTGGGGTAGATGGTCGCCCTCCCGGTGATAGAACAATCCGACAAGGATGCGACGATTACCGTGTCCTCCGCCTGTTTTCAGAACTCAGATAATTCTATAATATCTAAGAGCAACTTGTCTATCTCTTCTTCCAGCTCCAGTATCTTCAGGATTTCCTGGACCTTCAATTGAATCAGTAAAGCTAAAATGTATATACATTTTAACTTTCTGCACTACTTCTCTATATAAACTTTAACTATGCCAAATCTCATACTCTTCCGTGGGCGTATTTTGTTTAAAAAGAGTTACAAACCCTTCACGTAGTAATATATAGAATAATTTGTTATTTAGTTTTTGCCACTCTAAAGAAATATTATAATATATGAAATGGTTTGTCTAATACAATAATTTTAAAATACTTATTTATTAATAATACCTACTATATAACTGACTGAAAGTATCTTTTCTTATTTTCTGAAAAAAGGCATAATTAAATAAAACAGTACAATTCGAAAGCTAAATAAAATACAAATAAATACGAATAATCTTGTGGTAAATAGGTGCCTATTTAGAGCATACGATTAACTGCGTAGATAATATTACGTTCAGGCAAATATCAAACTTAAAGAAACAACATTATGGTATTTAATCAACTTTTCACTACAGTTTAAAATAAAAATAAAGCTACCAATATCATTTAATAAGAAGTAATCTTATATATTGAGTTCTATATTTAATTTGACACATCCTGGTCAGAGCCACGCTGCAGCTATATTATGGTTGCAACACGAATGGGTCCGGGGTAGGACAACACTCTCTATTTTACACTACTATTAATATTAGTGTAAAATAGCAGCAGTATGATAAGTGTAGAGAACTGGAGACCATTTTTACCGAAAACGAGACAACCCAACTTAGTTTTCAGAAGTGACAACGCATCTGCATTTTGATTGTTAATATAGGATAAATATAGACAGCATCCACTTACCATCAGGTGAACTGTGTGCTCGTCTGTCAATCTTATCCTATAAAAAAACCTTAGTGACAACATATGTGGCAGCATAGGTGGCTCGGTATCACATCACTAGTTTGTGTAACACAGAGGCACTCACACCGTCTAACTCTCTCCTAACCTAGTAGTCTAACCACTAGACCACAGATTAATTCAAATTGAGTATGACCAATACAAATTAATCTGCCATATAGCTAGAAGAATCGACAACCGATGGAGAAGAAAGTGACCAAATTGGTTTTCAAGTGACAACCTCGTGTCAGTAAGCGAAGTATAGAGCAGCCCTCCGCTGGAAAAGATATGCAGGAAGTCTATGGTTGCAGGTAGGTAGCCTAGATCATGACCATGATTCGTGGCATTGATTGGTCAGTAGATGACTTGTAAGGGGCCGTAAATATTATAATAATGATGGTCACGTAGTTATATTGTGGTCATTTTTAATAACTGACTATTGGATGACAGTAAAAATCTTACTTTATTGTACCTACACCACAAGCAAATGTACAAATAACAAAAAGCAGATTATACGAGGGCGACACTGAAAGTTTTTAGAACTGGCCACTTGTAAACGACATAATAAAAAAATAATTTCTAATTTTGAAAATGGAATTCTTTGCCAATATTGTTGTCATTTGTTTACGATTTGGCGGCAAATTGAAAATTGTCTGTGTCACATCAGCATGAATTTAATGCGAGAAAATTTTCGTGCAATGGTTTTTTGTGACTTTTGATGTCATTTAAATCAATAAGGAAATTATCATAGACTTCGATTGGCCTTTCAAGATGAAGCCTTATCTCGTGCCACTATTTACAACTGGTGTAATGAGTTTAAACGTGGTCGCACTAATCTCACCGATGATCTGCGTGAGGGACGGCCTTCTACGGCGACGACTAAAGATAACATCAGTGTTGTGCGGCGTATGATAGAGACTGACAAAAGAGTGACTTATCAGCAGACTTGGACAAGCTTAGGCATAGGTATGAGTCAAGTGGACAAAATCCTCCATGAACATTTAGCGGTCAGGAAGCTTTGTGCCCGGTAGATACCTCATAATTTGACAGATGCCCAAAAACTCTGTCGTGTTGATTGGTGTCGTGAAATAGTCCAAAGATTTAACGGAGGTGACTCAAATGCTGTATTCAACATACTTACGAGTGACGGAAGCTGGATTAATTGTTATGATCCTGAAACTAAGAGACAGTCTGCTGTCTGGGTGTTTCCTTCCGAGTAGTTGCCAACTAAAGTGAAGAGTGGTCGAAGCGTGGGAAAAAAGAGGGTGGCCTCGTTTTTCGGAAGGACAGGTCATTACGCAACAATTGTTTTAGAGGATCGAAAAACAGTTACTGCAGAATGGTACACTAACAATTGTTTGCCACTTGTCTTGGAAAAAGTTCGGGAGAAACGACCTCGCAGTAGGATCCTCCTTCATCACGACAACGCCTCGTCACACACCGCCAACCAAACAATCGACTACTTGGCGTCGTCAAACTTGGAATTACTGGGTCACCCGCCCTATAGCCCCGACCTCGCACCTTGCGATTTTTTTTCAGAAAATAAAAGAAAAACTTCGAGGAAAACGTTTTATGGATGCCGAGGAAGCAGTGGCTGTGTTTCAAAATGCCGTCTAAGAGACCCCTAAGGACGAGTGGGCAAAGTACTTTTCTCTGTGGTTCCATCGGGTGCAGCGATGTATTGATGTAAATGGACACTATTTTGAAAAGATATATAATAAAACGAATAACTTGTTAGTTTGTTCAGTTTTTGATTTTCTAAGAACTTTCAGTGTCACACTCGTATGTACAATTTGGCGATCTTTTCGCTACAGAGTGATCACTTCCAGCAGCCAAAGGTGTAAAGGAATAAAACTATGAATACTAGGTAGGTGGTGTAATATAAATATACATAATATAATATCAAAACATACGATATACATATACTTGCAATAAAATAACATATAAATAACTAATACATAATAAAAGATAATATAAAACATGTAATATACACATATATATATACAAATATATAAACAAACTTACATATCTACCCAAATATATATATATATATATATATATTACAAAATTCCTCAAACAATAATATAAAGCTTATAAATACAATAAATACGTAATCACATAATTTATCCTAACGATAAGACCAAAAGATTAATTATATGATGCTATGATACTAACCTGTACTTCATAATCTTTGCATTTTTTATAAAATTGAAATTACAAACAAACTTACAGATCGCCTGATAGTAAGCTCCTTTCTAAAATATTATTAACACTTGAACGAAAGCCCTGTCACCTTAAAGGGCTGATTAAAGTTGAAGTGTAAAATGTCCGTACAATGCAAGCTTATCTAATATCTTGTCAGGAGCAGGCGGTAATTTAACATTCAGTATCTAATAGAACCCCGTAAATGTCCAGTTTTGACTACATAGTATGCTCGTTTTGTACGACGTGGCTTTAAAATTCCTGACAGTTAAACAGAACATCTTTTTGAACGGAATAATAGCAACACTCCAATAACTGCGTGCTATTCTCGTGCTATTAAAATATTTAAAAAACGAACGAAGTTTTAATATACTCTTTATAATAAAGTTTCTTTTTATTTTCTTTACATGTTTATTTAAATGACATTCATCTCACTCCGTACTGAGCTCCATAATTGACATTGCTTTTTCATCGATAAACTTATATGGATAAGTTCGCAGTTTCACAGTAAAATTTTTATAGCCAATTTGTTTGCAATTAATTGGACCATATAATTCAACACTTTGAAAAATGTTAACTATTTTTATTATAACACTTATACAAGCCAAGTGTAAACATGAGATCGATAGTTTATATTTACATGTTAGTTGTATTGATTAAAAATGCTGGATTTACAACAGGATATTTAGTTGGCGCTGGCCGTAAGTTTACATAAATTTGTCTTTTTTCTTTATCTTTCAAATTGTCCTTTTGCCAGCGTCGAATTTGCAGAAATTGTTACGTACGACATACGTCCTTTGACATACGTCTATTTAGCGGTCTAGGTATTTTTAACATATAGAACACCTGAATTAAGTATTCTCCATGCGATAACCAAACATAAAATTCATAAATTCACGTATTATAATTATATGTCACTAGCGATCTACCCCGGCACCGCTCGGGTGATTTTTAAATCTCAACAACAGCGCCACAGTTGTAAATCTAAACCAGGGTTTCCCAACCTTTTTTGACAAGGGAACAATTTGATTTTTTTGTAGTTAACAGGGGTGGTCCTTGATAGGTGAAGGTGAAAGAAAAAAACTGTGTTAATCTAACAATAAATCACAACTTTTAACATAATTATACAATAAACTGATGAGAAGCATTCATTAAAAGTATTATTTTTGTATTTATTGCACTGTCCACGTGACGAGAAAATAATAAAATTAGGTAAAATATTTAAATCTATCGCGGACCATATTTAAGCTTTTGTGGACCACTGGTTGGGAATCACTGATCTAAACCATCTAAGGCCCCACTCAAACATAGAAAATTTCATGAAAATCGGTTGAGCTATTTTCGAATTCTTGCAAGACTAACGCGTGGCAATTGATTTTTTCTACCGACTTCAAAAAGAAGGAGGTACTCAATTTCACTGCATGTTGTTATATCTGTTACCTCAAAAAATTATTCAGGGTGAACTGATTTCGATAATTCTTTTTTTTATTGAAATTGGTGCTTCTTATGTGGTCCCATATAAATTTGATTAAGGTCTGACCAATAGTTTTTAAGTTATTCTTAATAATTTATATTGAAGTCGTTTGTACAAAATTTTAAATTGTTGATGATTGTGATGTCATTATTCTATGTAATATGTGCTAGTGTAAACTGTATGAGTTGGCCATGTACGTCATGGAGTAAAGAACTTTTTAGGCAAACGTAAGATGAGACGCACTAACTAGATGGAGCGCTACTCTGCGCAAGGCGGCTGCGTGAAGCCTTAGGGCTTAATGGCATGTCTTGGAAGATGCCTAACCCAGCATAGAACATCTATTAGATGATGATGATACTATATTGCATTGTTACAAAATATTAATTTAAGAGTGATTGTGTTTCTTACTAACAAAGCTTCCTTCCAAATTGTAACTTTAATATAGTAATAAATAACCAAGTATTATTAGTGTTGCAATAAAACTGAAAAATTTTGCATTATTTAATCATGTCCAAAAGTGTTTTACGTTGTAAGTGGTAACCTTGCTGCAGCTATATTAGTAGTATAGTTGGAGCACGAATGGATCGGCTCGACCGATGAAGGACCACGTTCCCCCAGAATACCTAAAATACATAACATAGCAGCTTAATGCTGCTGTTTTGCGTATAGTGAGTGTAGAGAACTGGATATCCTTTTTACTGAAAAAGAGGCATTCCATCTTAGTCCTCACGGGCGACAACGCATCTGCTTTTAATTCGTTAACGAGGATTGAACCAGGTGGACTATGTGCTCGTTTGTCACCGTTATCCTATAAAAAATTATATAAAAAGCCTTTAAAAATAATTAACCCTTACCTATAAAACTTTGTTAGAATCAATTTTTAAAGCTGCGCTGTATTTTCTAACAAAATGATTTGGATAACTTTAGATTTTATTCTGTGTCATGAAGTCGTTTTACAACCATAAAACCTAAATACTATCTATATAATAAAATTTTATTTGCATTTTTACTTTTTAACCGACTTCCAAAAGCCGTACTCAATTCGACTGTTTTTTTTTTATGTGTGTTATGTAAATTTTTGCAGGTGAAACGATTTTGATGAATCTTCTTTTATTTGAAAGCTGGTGCTTCTCATGTAGTCCTATATAAATTTGATCAAAATCTAAACAGTAGCTTGAGTTATCCTTAATAATGCGTATTTAATTTATTTCGTCTACATTGATGATGTACTCATATTATTTATATTGTAATCGGTTGTACAAATTTTTTAATTTGACCACTTGACTTTCATAACGTTCGAATTTTGAAATCGTAAAATATGCTCATGTCGCAGTGAATGTCCGCTTCGCCCAGCTGCTCTACACCGATACGAAGTACCAAGTGCTGAGAGAGGAGATGATAAAGACTAACACACGGAACCTCGTGTACCACTGCAGAGCTGACAAGAGTGACTGCGATGCGGCTTTGGCGAAGATGCGGTATAAAGCTAGCAAACATTTCTACGCTTTGTCCAAGGCTGTAGTAGACTATGTAAAAAATAAAAGACAGGCGCGTCCCACTGGATATGTTGGTGAGTGATTTTTTTTAAATTTAAACGACAGTTGAATGTTTCAATAGTGAAGAGTAAAATTTAAATTGGCAGGTTTATACAAATAAGGCAATTGTATTTTTTATAGAATACGAATGAAAACGGAGCACCCACTCTACTTGATGGTCTCACATCTATCCTCGGTTAAAAATCAAAATGCTGGATGCGTTGTCACCCCTGAGGACTAAGATGTAATGCCTTATTTCCAGTAAAAAGAGTCCCTGATCAGCGTCACTCACCATACGAAACACAGCATTAAGCTGCTGTGTTACGTATGATTCTGTGAGAGTGTGGTTCTTTCCCGATCATGCCGACTACAACCACAATATAGCTGCAATGTAGCTCTACCACATATAAAAACTTGCATTATGATTTCTTATGTTCACGTTTTATTTTATATATATAAGAGATTTCCACCTATGTACTGACTCATCACGAGATCTCTGGAACCACAAGGCCTAGACACTTGAAATTTGGTAGGAATATTCCTTTCGCCGAGTAGAGGTCAGCTAAGAACGGATTTTACGAATTTCTGCGAGGTCGCTAATTGAAGAAAAGTCTGCACCACCGTTCACCAGATTGCGGTAAAACTTTGTCAAGATATTGCTTGCACTTCCGCGAAGGTTACAGGCATAGTTGGACCCGGTATGTGGCGCTATTGTAGAATCATAGATATCACCCGTGCGAAACTGGGGCAGAGTTTTGGTATATTTACATAAGATCTCAGGACTTCCAGTATACGGCAGATCCAATATCCCGACACGACAGCAACGACATGTGTGTGAAGCTTCATATACTATTAAGTCTATACGCCAACCCACCTAACAAGAGTGCCGATTAAATTAAACCCTCGTTAGGTACTTGAGGCGAAGTTCAAGCAATGGACTCTGTGGGTGACAAAGATTAACGATTAAAAAGGTATATAAATATTAATGTGTCATATCTTAATTGCTCAGGTACTGCAACGTTCTGCCAGGACAACATCTGTGTCCCAGACACTGACCCGCCTATCGTATATGGGGGTTGTTACACCCTGATATCCTGCGGCGGCAACCAGACCTGGCACCTAGATCCAGTAGTGTACAAAAAAAAGAAGAACAGATTTTTTTAATAGATATTGGCAATTATAATGATCAATACACGCTTTAGTATTTTATTTACATTGACTGCTATCTCCCTTGGGTGGTAGTGATGGTTGAGTGTAATGATGACGTGAAAAATTCATCACCCTATTTCACAACTTTTTTGTATCGTAACATGTCGGTGAGAGCCTATAAGTCCGTCTTGATAGGTACTACATTCTTACTAATTTCTGCCACCAAGCAGAAGTACGTTTTTGGAACGAAGTTTCTTATCGGACGGTACGGTAAATGGGGGCGAGGCGAGAAAAAGTGTAAGATTTTTCCATCACGACCACTTCTGACGTAGTGTAGATGGCTTTGGTGGCTATAAGGAAGCGAGATGGAATAATATCCATCTCCCTCGCACTTTTTCTTATCTTGTCATAAAAGAAATATTATTTTATTTTTAATGACGCTTCATTTTAATAGACGCTATTAATTCATTTATTTGTATTTGTTAATTAATAATATAGTACGTACATCAATAGGCAGGGCGCGGACCGCGAACTCAAAAGGTTGTGGGTTTGAACCGTCATTCGACTACTGTCGTGAACCACTTCTAACACAAGCATTTTAAGTTTACCAGAATATATAGTATATAGAACATTACTAGTATTTAAAAAAATTACTACGAAAGGAACTTAGTTCCAACCGAGTGTCCCACGACACTCACGCACGTTTTTTTTAGGAAGAAGGGTGACAAACGAGCACACAGTTCACCTGATGGTAGGTGGATGCTGTGGCCCATAGACATCTACATTTATGCTCGATTAAGAATTATAATGCAGATGCGTTGTCACCCCTGAGGACTAAGATGGAAAGCCTCATTTCCAGTAAAAAAGGGTTACCGGTTCGCTACACTCATCATACGAAAGTACGAAACACAGCAGCATGAAGCTGCTACGTTCCACTGGTATTCTGTGAGAGCTTGGTACAACAATAATATAGCTGCAGCATGGCTCTATCGCGTATAAACGTGCACTGCTGCGTTCCAATCTGAAGGGTATAGGGTGGTATAGGGAGCTAGTTAGTCCTTAGATGTTTGGAGTTCGTTGCAGCAATACATGGGTTGCATTAATCACTAACCATCTAGTAGACTGTAAGTTCGTGTGTCATTCATCAAATGGAATACCTCGTCACCAGTAAATGGCTCCCTGGTTTTCGTCACTCAACGGACAAGATTCAACAGGGTTATTATGAAATATCGAATAGTGTGCAACTTCGTGGTCACTTGAAAGGGAAGGCCAAATTGGCCTCTAAAAAGCTTGACGTGCTCAGCAGAGCGAGACAGTATTTCATGCCGGCACATCGCTTGCAACTTTACAAAGCGCAAGTCGGCCTCACATGGAATACTGTTCTCATCTCTGGGCCGGGGCACCCCAGTGCCAGCTCCTTCCACTTGACCGCATCCAGCGCAGAGCGGTTCGAATCGTCGACGACCAAGTTTCTTCTGATCGACTCGATACACTGGCGCTGCGTAGAGATGTTGCATCTCTTTGCGTATTTTATCGCATCTATCACGGGGAGTGCTCTGAGGAATTGTTCGGACTAATTCCAGCTACTCAATTTCACCATCGCACATCGCGACAAAACTCGCGATACCATCCATACCATCTGGATGATTGGCGGTCCACCACTGTGCGATTTAAAAGAAGTTTTCTCCCTCGCACAACTTCCTTGTGGAATCAATTACCATCAGCGATTTTTCCGGACCGATACGACTAAGGGACCTTCAAGAAAAGAGCCTACTCCTTTTTAAAAGGCCGTTTAAAGGCATCTGCAATTCCCCTGGTCCCCTGGTGTTGCAGTTCTACACGGGCGGCGGTAGTCAATTACCATCGGGTGAGCTGCATGCTCGTTTGCCCCCTCTTCTATAAAAAAGGGTTATACTTCTACATTAAAGTTCTTACGAGAAGCCGACGCCTTCATGCACAACGTTCGAAAGTGTTCATTTAGACTTCGAGCTAATTAGGTTTCTAAAATTGACTTATCGTCGAGCCGTTTCAATGATTTCCAAAAAATTAAAGCCAAATAAACGATACGTTAAACGTTACGAGCATTGCGCTCGAAATTAAGGCCTTAACAGTGGTTGAAATGCCTAAATCTAGGATATTTAAGTAAAAAAATCTCAATAACTGTTCATTTAATCCACAAAGAAAAAATACAGGGTAATAGAAGAGGATTTGGTAAATGTTTTTAATTTAACAAAATTGTATTTTTGTCAACCCCTTATTAGAAAAAAAAATCCCCAAAGAGTACCTATCTTTGTCATATTTTGCAAAATTTCTCCAAAACGGCACAAGCTTTTTAAATAGTTCTTACACTAAAAAAAAGGTCTTAAAAATATTAATCTTTTTAATTGAGAGTTTTATTTTTATTACCCGTTTTATAAGAGAATATATCATTTTTCCCTGAAATTGAATACATTTACGCGAGCGCGCATGCTCCGTCGCCATGTAAGCTCTGTCACAGTCCGTTTTCGGACATCGTCGAGGGTGGACCGCACGTCGGTGTTGGAGCGACTTCGTTCAAATATATATTAGTTTTTTATAAGTTTATACCCAACTATAAATATTTTTATGACTATAAATACTTAATTTAGTTAATATCTGTACACTGGTAACTGTAAATATTATTTTCTAAATAAATGAATTTTTAAAGTGCCCAAAGAAGAAGAAATTTTTGCGGCGAATTTGATTAGTGAAATTGAAAAATGCATATTTATATAATTTAGATGTGGAACGACGAACATGCTCTCGTTACTTAGATTTCGATAGTTTTTAATACCTATGTAATTTTATTCTTGCATATTTTTATTAATTAGTTGATACTGAATTTTATAATTATGTATAACAATAAAACGCTGTTTTTATGAGTATGACTTTATAAAATATTGTTGGGGAGGGAAATATAGATACAGATACTTACATTTAGGTACACTCTTATCAAATTAAATCAAACAATTTAAATAAATAATAAAAATGGTGCTTCCCTAAGTATAAATAACTATATAAAGACATTCTTGGGTTTATGGTTTTTTTTTATGTTACACAAACTATCATCTAAAAATGTAAAAATTTTAAATTGGAGAGGGGTTTCTCTACGTGATAAAGTTAGAAATGAAGATATTCGCAGTAGAACCAGAGTAACTGACATAGCCCAACGGAATATTAAAGTGAAATGGCAATGGGCTGGCTATATAACTTGGAAAACCGATAAAAAATAGGAAGAAAGGTTCTCGAGTGGCAACCTCGTATAGGTAAGCGAAGTAGTACTCAACCTTTATTCCTCTTCACGTATTCTTATACGCTTTTCTTCACACACACAAACACACACACACACACACAAATAGGTCACAAATAGGTTGCAAATAATACTTACCTAGTACTACGAGTATTAGGCAAGACTGAATAGGTTTTTGTTAAGTCAGTGCAATTCACCATCTTAGGCTACATAACCAGCGATGGGATTGTAGTTGCTTTACTACTTGCTGGGTAAAAATAGTAAAAAAAAAATTACCCTGTGAAAGTTTGCATTTAGATATAACTTTTCTAACCAACCATAAAAATATGATAAGAATATGTATATAAGTATAAAGGTTTCCTCACACGGGACAGTAATAATATAATATTATATCTTCCATTATCTACGCATGAAAACTTTTAAAATCTCTCAATCCCGAGTTATGTGCATATTAAGGCTTTAACTAGCCTGAATGACCTTGACGAAACGGCGATCGCAGAGATTTTAGCCGGTGTCAACACCGTCTAGCAACTACGTTCTGTATTACTTATAAAAGTGCAAAGATTAATAGACTGCAGAGATGACAATTATATAAGTGACATACTGCCTGTTATGCTTGCGCATCACTGAGAATTATGTCGCGGTTACGCATCTTCAATTACATTGCACGGTGTGGTGCTGTAGCTTTGTCCGGTAGGCATCACGAGCTATCAAGTGTTCAAGTTTCAAGTACGTAAGAATTTTTATTATATATGTTAAATCGTATTTATTTGTGTCGTATTAAAAATATGTCGTCAAAGCGTTCGCTGTAAATTTTCCCGGGTTTGATCCCCGACAGCAAGAATGAAATTTGTAATTGCAATTTTCGTCAACACGCATTGGGGAAGCACGGCGGGAATTTCCTTGCCCTAAAACCCTCTCAGAAATAAAAAAAGAGTCCTGTGCCCAGTAGAGGGACATTATATAGCCTATTACTTTACTTTGTAGCAATATTTATATTCGTTTCAGATATAGAAGGGTACCTTATGCTGACAAAAATATCATGTGGAGGCGACGAAAACGTAAAACATCTTTATACCTAGATAAAACGTTCGAAAGATTGTCAGTCATGTCATGCGCCACATTTTCTATAGAGCGTAGAACATTGCAGATAGGGCAAAATAAAAAATAATCCAATATATTATGGGAACTATTTATTAATAATATATACATTTATAGGTATTTATAATAAAAGTAATGAACAAGCTGCAAGGTTCAACTAATAATGTTTTTTTGTAAACACAATCGTAAAATTCCTGTTTTAATTTTTACCAATGGTTAATTGATGAAACGTAGTCAAGATCACTTCATATAAAATATATTTAATTAAAATTGACACGTGACCTATTTGGCCTTCTACTTACAACTCGGCGGAAATTTGAAAAGAAGATTTTGTCTTTTCACACAAGTATTGTTTACAACTGGCGTGGTTTCGAAAAGCGTGGTTAATTGTCAGCGGTATATAATCAATTAAATACTGAACTTTATTGAAATTTATTTTTTTATTTATTTTGTTATATCTTCTTAAAAACTGACGCCATCTCACTCTTTTATTATTTGTTTTTTTTGTACGCATAAGGATAAATTAGACTAAGTTAGATTAACTTGGATAAGTTTATATTTTTTTTAATTTTATCACAAAATTTCCGCAATAAATTATTACCTTTTCTACAGTGATTCTCTCCTCTTAGTTTCGGCGTGACTGTAG